GAGACCAGAGAGAGACCAGAGAGAGACTAGTGAGAGACCAGAGAGAGGCCAGAGAGAGACTAGAGAGACCAGAGAGAGACCAGAGAGAGGCCAGAGAGAGGCCAGAGAGAGACCAGAGAGAGACCAGAGAGAGACTAGTGAGAGACCAGAGAGAGGCCAGAGAGAGACTACAGAGACCAGAGAGAGACTAGAGAGAGACCAGAGAGAGGCTAGAGAGAGACCAGAGAGAGACTATAGAGAGACTAGAGAGAGACCAGAGAGAGACCAGAGAGAGACCAGAGAGAGACCAGAGAGAGACTAGTGAGAGACCAGAGAGAGGCCAGAGAGAGACTAGAGAGACCAGAGAGAGACCAGAGAGAGACTAGAGAGAGACCAGAGAGAGGCCAGAGAGAGAGACCAGAGAGAGAACAGAGAGAGACCAGAGAGAGACTAGTGAGAGACCAGAAAGAGGCCAGAGAGAGACTAGAGAGAGACCAGAGAGAGACTAGAGAGACCAGAGAGAGACTAGAAAGAGACCAGAGAGAGACCAGAGAGAGAGACCAGAGAGAGACCAGAGAGAGACAAGAGAGAGACCAGCGCGAGGACTAGCGAGAGACCAGAAAGATACCAGAGAGAGACCAGAAAGATACCAGAGAGAGACCAGAGAGAGACCAGAGAGAGACCAGAGAGAGACTAGAGAGAGACTAGAGAGAGACCAGAGAGAGACCAGAGAGAGACCAGAGAGACCAGAGAGAGACCAGAGAGAGACCAGAGAGAGACCAGAGAGAGACCAGAGAGAGACCAGGGAGAGACCAGAGAGAGACCAGAGAGAGACCAGAGAGAGACTAGAGAGAGACCAGAGAGAGACCAGAGAGAGACTAGAGAGAGACTAGAGAGAGACCAGAGAGAGACCAGAGAGAGACCAGAGAGACCAGAGAGAGACCAGAGAGAGACCAGAGAGAGACCAGAGAGAGACCAGAGAGAGACCAGAGAGAGACCAGAGAGAGACCAGAGAGAGACCAGAGAGAGACTAGAGAGAGACTAGAGAGAGACTAGAGAGAGACTAGCGGGCCTCCTCTCTCCTCTGGTCCTATGGTGTCCTGATCCTGGTCCGGTGGGTCTGGGGCCCCTTCATCCTCCTCTGGGCTTTGTTGTCGTTCCCTGTGGCTGCAGCCGGCTCTCTGCTCCTGTGCCAATGGCTCCTTGGATGGCGCTTCTCAGCCGGTTACATCTGCACCCAGCCCATTTTCTTTTTAATTGTTTTAAACTATTTTTACCTGATGATACTTTTATACTTGTATGTGTGTGTCTGTGTGGTGGTGTGTATAAGCAATGTGGATGTATATATAATTAGAATGTTGTTTTTTGGGGGGTCTGTGGGGAGGAGGGTTTAGGCTGGCATTTGGATTGTTTTGTAACTAAACTGTTAGCCCTTTGTGTTACACTTTTTTGTATTCAAAGCGCATTATAAAATAAAATTTGTAATATGAGATTGATTGATTGATTGAAGACACTAACCCCACATTTCCTGAAGCCACCCGCTGAAAGACCAAGGCCATATCCCGTGGACCCACCAGCTGCAGAGGAATCAGCGTGGACTGGTGGCAATGAACTTGGGTGGCAGCTCTGATTGCCACCCCAAAAATGAATTAATAAAGGTGAAGAAAATGACATGACATTGACATGACTACCCACATGTACCCGAAGTCCCGCAAGGTCATCAATTCATTACACTGGACTCCCACTGTCCACATTGTAAAGGCATAAAAGAAAAAAAAAAAAAACTCTTTTCATCTACTATCACTACATAGGAGTGGCTGAAATGCTTTATATTCCTCACCATATGGATGTAATATATACCATGCATACAACTTTGTGGTTAATGTATTGCGCAAAAAAGCAGAAATAATCTGGTAAATTTCAGTTTTACATTGAACCATTGTCCAACTTCATTCAAGACGATTTCCCAGTCCTCGCAGTCTATAGAACAAGAATTCAACTGATCTTGTAGCCAGCATTGCCACGATTCATGCTTTCCACGTTTAAGTAGTCTGTTTTCACTCAGTCGGACTGGTGGTAAACAGTATCCACAAACATGTCTGTGTTTAATGGGCTTTTAACTGCGTCACCTCAACATTTAAACATGTGGAAAGTTGATTAGTTATCCTGCAAGTTGTCACCAGACTGTGAATGCTCTTTATAAGGCCACCATTGGGCTTCCTACATGTCACCTGACCGCCTACTGACATTATGACCAAAGTTAGAGCCCATTTAGATAAAGAAGTGAGTCCAACTCAAATGTATTTGAATCATCATCAAACCTCAATTCGAAACTTGTTTCTTGATGCACATGCAAAAAATATTGTGGGTGATTAATGTGACCCATTTATTTTTTCATAGCGCAAATTGGGGAACTAAAGCTACCACATTATTCATTGTTTTTTTTTTTCCTTTTTATGGACAAATGCTGTAATCACAGTACCAAGTCAACAGTTTTCCCATAAGTAACTATTTTTCAGGAGTATTACTTATTGATTATTTTCCTTGGATAATAAGATAGATGGTAATTTTATCTTTCCAAATCAAAAGCCTCAAAGATTGGACATAACATTGTGATGGTTAATTGAAGTGAACGTAATGGATGATTAACCAAAAGGGACGTCAAACAGAAGATCCTGATTTGAGAATAGTAAGAGGATTCTGATTCCAAACAGAATATGGGAGGCTGTCAATGAGAACATCAAAAAGTAACTAGATGGTTTACAACAATTCTAGGTGGAGATTTGCTTCAAAATTCTCCTAATAGATTGTAACTGAATGTCTAAAAATAATGGTATAGGGTGGACCATCCGATGTAATTAAATCATTTTTTAAAAACCAGTACTCACTCACTCAGAGCATACAAACAGATTAATACAAGCAGCTTTTGGCATTTGCTCTAAAGCTCCATTAAAACTAAAAATAGTGTGAATCTAAGGTCACAAAAGCATTGGCTTTGAGAGACGCCCATAACTGATTTCGCAGATTCCCAGTATAGACTCGCAGAGTTTCACTTCTATCACTATGTTCCTCCAATTAGGATCAGATACAGGCAGACATTGATGCACAAGTGAAGTGAAGCAGGTCTGTGCTAGTACTGCTGCTTAAACGGCTGGAAAAGTTTGAAATGGCCCCGACAGAAGAATGTGAACGTGGCATACCTTTGCCAATTTATCTTGAAGGCCGTTCAGAGCACTAATTCCTACATTGCACAGCTTTTATCTCTTCAGTAAAAAAAAAACTCCTCAAATTAAAAGTTAGGATTTACTTGAAATTGCTATTCTTATCTTCAGCAAGTTTATTTGGAACAATCCTTCGTAGAAACAGATATAGATCATGTCCGTCCTCGTTCTGAAATCAAGCACTTTCCGAACATCCCTGTCCCACA